CTTCTCTAATATGCCACTGGTGTGATCTAGTTCATGAAGTGTCCTATTCAAAGAGTAGGGTGGTTTGACTGAACCAGAAATCATGTAGTAGACAAAGGGAATTGTACGACATGATAAAAATTGATTTTTTTTTTCTTTTAACAATACTATTGCTTCTACGCACGCAATATCTATCCTGCACTAGGGTGAGGATGTGGGTGTGGGTGTGGGTATGAGTCTTCTATCCACCCACACCCACACCTACATCCACACCCCACCACCCACACCCACACCCTGTATTCAACTTCTTTTACTTTTCATTATTGGTCAGTTTAAACGAATTAAGAGGATATATTTAGTCCAAAGAAAATGGATTGTTTAGAGTTTTTCAGACTAGTCTGGACAACACACTCTGCAAAAAACAGACTAGTCCTGACTACTATTAAAGACGTTTCAAACTAGTGAAAGTTGTTTGACATTGATTACTTTCTGATTATCTAGTACATGGATAGAGTGGAGTCAATTTTATGATTTAGACTATCTAAACTGACGACAGTCTATCTCAATGTTCCAGCCTGTCGTCAGGTTTCGAATAATATCGGGTTGGATGTTTAAATCCATCTTTCACCTTCTTTTTTTAATCTTTCAACTAGTTTGGACTTGGTCAAAGGACAAAAAGGACTAGACATGATTGGATTCAAGGACATTCTGGGCTAGTTCAGATGTGTTTGCAGGACATTTTCCCAAAACGTGACTAGTCATGAGGAATGTGCCAGACGTTCCAGACTAGGCCTGACGGATGTTGTGAACATTTTGGATTAGTTATGGCGACCATCTTTCTTTATTTTTTGCTCACTTGGATACTTTATGTTTTGGGGGTTATTCATCTCACGTCTACAATCGATTACCTCAAAGCCGCAAGGCGAATGATAAACTGCGTATTCGCTTGTGAAAATAGACAAAATATGATTGTCCACAATTACGTTGCAGGTCACTTGTTGGCTTTATTCTTCTCTCTTTGTTTTCAGCAGGAATAATCACAAAAGGAGGTTATAGAGGGTGCTAGAAAGAATTTTTTCAAAAAAAGCCAATCAATATGTAAATGGCAGAATAAATTAGACTTGGATTTTGATTATATACTTTGTTTAATATATATTCTCTTTTAAATGGTCACCATTTCCACTAAGTAATATAAAGAACAATTTATAGATGTCTGAATAACTGTAAAATATAAGTGTGCACTTTTTTTTTAAAGAATCTGTCAGTATCCGCGCTGAATGTAAAGGATTAATGTAAAAGAAATTAGACGATCAACAGTTTAGTTTCTACAATTGAACGAATATCAGTTCGTCTTTTCTGTAGTATAAATTCGTAGTATTATCTCAATAAAAATATCTTCTTTTTCGACCAAGATGTATATTTCACTTTGTGAGGGATCACTTTAAGTGGTATTTCAACTACTCCTTCTTCGTCTTTGTCTCCAAATACATTGTCACATATATCCAATTCGACAAATGGTGATCCTTGTTATATCAATTAGATATTTGTAGATAATGTAAGCGTACCTTTTGATCCATCTGCCCATCCATATGTACTTGATGCATAAGCTGAATTAATAGCTATCACACAATTCTACAGTAGTGTTGATGAACTTCGTGTATTTGAAGCGAATTAATAACAATAGAACTCATACAAAAGCTATTTCCTATATAATCGAGCACAATCATTCCAACAAACAGTATTTTATTCTATTTTCAATTTATGACGATCAATATGTTACAAAGATTTCTAATTAAAAAAAGAACTTCGATAATACAAATGTATCCACTTTATTTTGAAATAGAAATAAGGAAAAAACATTTTATTCTGCTTTATAAAATTTATCCCAGTAGAATTTCTTGTAGCACATCATATTAAAATTTATCTATGAAAAAACTTTAAAGATATTTTGTTTTTTCATTTAAAATTCGTTCACTCAATTCCCATAGTTCTTGAGCTTTTTTTGAATTGTTGGCAACTGGAGTAGGTTGGGCCACTTGACAATTAGAATGATATTTTCCAGGTTGAGCTTCGTCTAATAAAGCACAATACATAGTTGTCATTGCTCCTTGCTCAATCGATTTATGAGCAAACACCAAACAGGATATTAAAGACTGCTTCAAAAGCTTTTCTTTCGCGAGATATTTCAGTTGCAGGAATGAAACCAGGATGAAGTGAGTATGCCTTAATACCACGATCTCCATAGCGTCGTTGCAGCTCGGCAGCATATAGAATATTGGCCAATTTTGATCTAGAATAAGCTACAGTACTATTATAAGAATAATTTTTAGAAAAATCGATATTTTCATCAGCGAACACGTGCATAATGCTGCTGACATTAATAATTCGTCCATTCGACTGAATAAGTAAAGGAAGAAGAAGTTGAGTTAAGTAGAAATGACCAACTAAATAAAAATGAAAAATAAAGAAGAAATTATTGTAGAAAAAATAGTTTACTGTGATTTGTTCCAAAAGTACATTCCAGACCATCTCTGGTAAGTTCTTTCTTTCGTTTTGAAACTCCCGCATTGTTGATTAAAATATCAACTTTATCGATCTTTTTAGCAAATGCATTAATACTTGATAAATCACTTAGATCTAAATGATGACCAATAACATTTCCATGAGATTCGTTGCTTAACTCTTGAGCTACACCTTCGGCTCTTTCTTGACCACGTATACCAACAATAACAAGTGCTTCTAGTTTAGCCAATTCAACGACAGTTACTCGTCCTATTCCTGTAGCAGCGCCTGTAATTACAACAGTTTGATTCTTCAAATTCTTTTTTGGAGTATATAAACGACCAGCTGACAGGCGCTTAATTACAACAGTGAAGACAGCAACATGAGCAATCAAGGCAAATAATGTATAAGGCCATGTGAGAAGAAAAAACAGGACATAAATCAATACTAAAAAATTTACGAGGGAAAATATGATTGATTGTGACTCTGGCTCAGCTAGAAGAGTTTTAAAGCCTTTAGAAGAAAGCCACATGTTCATCTTCAAGAACTCTTCAATATACAACGACAAAGTGAGTATTGATGATAACTTTGTTGGTTTGTTGTATTGTAGTTTCTTGTCTTGTATATCTTTGTAGTGGTGGAAAGAATGAGCAAATAAGAAGACAAAAAGAATTAAAAGAACGATTCATTTTTATGTCGCTGCATTGTGTTCTATATTTCATTGGATGACGTACGGCACGTTGTTAGTGGTGAATCATGAACTTCTGAAGAAAAAAAAAACACTGCAAAGGACGAACGAATGATGAAAGAACAGAAGTGTGTTAGCTGCGACACAATCATTCAATTTTGTAAAAACGCAACGATTAAAGCAATAAAAACGTCTGTGTAAATTTGAGTCATATTATTTCTATGGGTGTGGGCGTGGGTGTGAGTGTCGCTGTGACTGTGGATGCTCTCTTCTTCCACTCACACTTACGCCCTCAAGCAAAAAAAGAGAACGAAGTCGAAAATTTTGCATATTTCAAGGAAAGATGCCTTTTTTTCTCGAAAAACGACACCTTTCGAGTATTTCGTATTTTTCGACGAGACAAAAAGCATTTGAGTGAGGTAAAAAAGTAGATTTTTGTGATCAGCAACTCACATTCTACCAGATTATGGAAAAAAAAGCAAAAACGTTTTTACTCGAAATTCGCTTTGCCGGCATCTTACTATTACATTGGCGCATAAGTTCTGAGAATTTTTTTTTTCTGGTTTAACAGTAACTTTATTTTTCAACAAAGATATGCAACGTCAATCAACAATATAATCGCCATTGTTTTATGTGTATTTCTTTTGTTCTTTCATTTACTTTTATCTCACTACTATAGTTCATTGAACAAAACACAAAGAATATATTGTGGAATTATAACTTTCACGTTCTATTATAAATACTAAGATAACAATGTTATACTCTGAAAACCATTTATTAAGAATGATTTTAAGTGTGAGTGATCGATGCGTGGAAATCTACTCCCCACTCCGCATCCACATCCGCGGTGGTGTCTATCAAAAGGGAAGGAGGAAAAATGTGGCTCTAGAGAGTTTTTGAGATGCTTTTTTTTAAAATTCTTATCAATATATGTGAAACAGAAAAGTAATAGCAGTGGTTTGAAGTGAATAGGATCGGATCGTTTTTAGAGTGATCCTTTTCTTAACCTATTTTTGTTACTGCTAAAAAAAGTCATTATTTCTCAAAATCGAAAAAATCTAAATAGTACTTAAGAGCAAGTGCCTGAGAAAAT